CAACTACCTTCCTTTTCCTCTTCGTTTTCCTTTCTTGCTCATTTTCTCAATTAATGCACTACTTGCAATGAGCATTACCGGTTATAACTCTCAACTTCCACCTCGATTGACTCTCAACAAAAGCACCCCGTCGTTGACCCCACTATTTTATAATAATGGGGGGTCCGCATTTTCGACAGTTGTAGGAACCTTCCCCTGCCTGTTAGCAATGTCCACCCTGCCTGAATCTGTCCTCTTTCGACGATCAGGTTCATACGGTGTACGCCTACCACCTTTGCGCGCGAGGCACACCAATGTCCCAAAGGACGAAGCCACAACTACGACTCCAGGATCTCATCATCGGACTAACCAGGCCTAGACAATTCATAATGTAGTATTTTACTCACCCGCTTCCACTGAAGTTCGAACTCATATCTGTATTTCAATAATTCGTGGGCGTACCAACTGAACTAGGCCCGTCGTTTCCACCATCGGTTTTGGGACCGGTACCGGGTTTGAGAAAACGAGACAGTTAAAAAAACATAAAAGGACAGTGGAGGAGGAGAGGAGAGAGGGGCATCGTTGGCACCTCCTTGGTCCCACCAGTCGGGCTTGTACTCGGGACCGACTGCAAAACCTAGGGAATAGTCTTGCGTGATCCTCAAGCCCTTGGTCTCCTCCAATCGTGTCCCGTCACTTCTTTGCTGCTTGTTGGCTTCGATCCCCATACATGCAGTTTGAAAGTCAAGTGTCGTAACCAATAGGGCTAGGCCTAAGTATGAGTATGGTAGGTGCAAAATTTGATATGGTTTATGCATCGTGCTTGTGCCTACTAACTCGTACCAAGTCCATACCTTGGACCTACCTGGCGAGCCCACGACCATCAAACTCTTGCAACTTCTACGCGGGGGTTCCGATTTCGTCCACCTTCCTCATGCACTTATCCTGCTATGTTCGCGATGTGCCATCGCGAAATCTGACCCTCGCACGAAGCCACTTTTTTTCCAAGGCCGTATTTTTACCATTTTTTTGAGGTTACCTATCTCAAACGAGACGGACACGACTTATTCAACGCCGTTGAAGATACTCGTAGTGAAGAACTCGCTGCGAAGACTCAAGCTCGTCGTGAAAGGGGATCACTGGGAATAGCCAGCCCTTGGTTGAACCCCGACCGTGTCTCTGATACGCAGCTGAACGGAATACTCGTGAACGTGAGATGCTGGTGGGATAATTGCCCGGACGTGTTCGGCAAGGCCGATCCGCTACAAGATCGCACAACGTCTTCCCTCGTACAGCGACAATTGATATTGTATTTATAACATAATTAGATTATTATAATTATCAATATGGATATTTGTTTACGTACGCCTTGCCGGGGTTGTATGTACTCCGCACTACGCGCACTCAAGCGCTTTATGCACTCCGCACTACGCGCACTCAAGCGCCGCCTCCAGTGAGGTAACAAAATTCACCTTGGATCATGGCACTGACAGTCAACCTGGACCTCGGTCATGACAATGCCGGCCTCTGCGTGCGCATGTCGTGCACGAAGTTATACTGACCAAAATTCAATTCTCTCTCTAGCTCACACCATTGTGCGAGATTGCTGGACTTTTGCTGAGCTGCCAGATTCCCACTTACTCAACGCGCGCCCCAAAGTGCATGCCCACGCATCCTTTGGCCTAACTTATACCTGTCTCTTATACACATCTAGATGTGTATAAGAGACAGAAGTTATACTGACCAAAATTCAATTCTCTCTCTAGCTCACACCATTGTGCGAGATTGCTGGACTTTTGCTGAGCTGCCAGATTCCCACTTACTCAACGCGCGCCCCAAAGTGCATGCCCACGCACCCTTTGGCCTAAGTTATACTGACCAAAATTCAAGTCTCTCTCTAGCTCACACCATTGTGCGAAATTGCTGGACACTCCGTTTATTTGTTGAACTGCCAGATTTCCACTTACTCAACGCGCGCCCCAAAGTGCATGCCCACGCATCCTTTGGCCTAACCTGAGAGTTGATTGTGAGTTGTGCAAAAATAATTGTGCCACTACCTCAATTATCATCACAGATGCGGCTTATGCGAAACACAAAAAACACAGAAAAATACCCTTGTAAGGGTATTTGTGTCGATAGCGATAGAGATTGAAACCAGCTGGTATGTTACTACTGTGGCCATGATCGATGTCGCATGAGGCTTAGGTTCGATGATGTTCAGACGCTGTTGGTGCGACGATGATCAATGAAGTCCGCAATTCGATGGAGTCCAAAACTGGTTGGTATGCTACTGGTAAGGCGGTGACCGACGAGGCATAAGGCTTGATAGAGACCAGAGCTGATTGGGTTGGATACAAGATGTGGATTGTCGCCTCACCCCGGTTTAAGTTGTGCCAACGGCGGACGGAGCCAAAAAATAATGTGTACCCATCAGGTGAAGATAATTGAGTATGGTTGGCTCTTGACAATGGTGAAGGTCTTACGAAAGACGGAGACTGTAAAGCGGATAGGGACAAAACATAAAGAGGTAGAACCTGCGCCTTAGTTGTAGGCAAAGGCAAGAGATGCAATGGTGCCGCTAGCTGGATAGCAACCGTGGGAGTTCAACTTATTGGATAGATAGTTTCGTTGGTGTTACGGGATTCACAAAGGGAACTTTTGTGGTCAACTTGATCAGGCAACGGGAGAAGGACTCTCCAAGAGTTAGCATCCTAGAGGAGACCGAGGGATGAATGAAAATTTTGAGGCGGACACATCTACTCTGCCTTCAGATCAAAGACCCCCTATTGAAGTTGCTGTTCCGCCACCATGAGTAAGATTCAATCACTTGTTCGAGCACTTCATATACCTAGATATTAGCTATGCAAGGGCACATAAGGTAGTTCTGCGTCCAAGGTAAGAGCAGTGGAAATATCGCCGCTAAGAAAGAAGGAGCACGATCAGAGGAATGGAAAACAGCATGGCCACCTATGGGAGGGATCAAGGGAAAACATAGAAGGGTTATATATGTGCTCAAGGTCAGATGATCATGATATACATAGCAGTCACATCTCTATTAAAGCAGTTGCTGATGTAGGTAAGACGGCGAGATGATCATGGTCCCCTCCTCTCCTCCGGGAACCCGATGTGCGGAGACAACTCGATAAGTCTGCATCATTGGGTGAGGATCTACCAACCTCTACTGATGATGGAGGTCTGGACTAGGCAATTAGTCACTAGAAACTTTGGGTCTGTCATAACAATGACGAAACCCAAATGCACCAAGACGGTGCAGAGCGAGTTACACCAGGGCACTCGGTTAGTAAAGACAGTGGTCAGTGAGGAGAGTGGCAAGGAATAAGGAGGTGCTGTTCCACCATGTTGCAAAGGCCCGCTAGCCGCTTTAGAAGATAGAGCAGGAAGCTAGTTAGCACGAGAGCCATTTCTGTTGAAGTGTACTGAAGTCGGTATGAATGAATCTGTTATGAACTGTTTGTGATGCACAGTGTCCCCCCTCAGTCCAAGCAGGACTGTAACCTGAGTAGAATTGTGAGGTCCCCGGCCCCCTGCCTTGCTTGTGGCGGGGTTTATGTTGGCGTCCGACGATGAGATGGGAGAGCAGAACAGAGAGGCGTCAACCGGACAAGATCAGGAAGTCGAGCATCAGAGGAGGACAGTGGAAAACGTGAGCGCAGGCGATCTACGGCGTGCGTTCGTCCGTCCGATCTGCGTGCCAGAGGCCGGCGTGGAGTGCATGACCTGTACGAAGCGCCGTTGCCTGGTGTGGAAGGGGTAGCCCATCCCGCACGAGCAAGCCGAGATTTTTTCGGACAAAATGCGTAGGCATCTGGCCGCGAAAGGAATAGGATGCCTTTGCCGAAAGTGGTACATGTAGTAATCTCGCAGCTGGTGTAACTTTCACACTCGGCGCGACGTTTGTGATCTGCGTTTGGAAACGGCCACGTCAGCAGTTGTGGTGGCGTTCTGTTGAGTGCTGGTGCCCGCGCGTTCATCAAAAAGCTACGTGCTCGGGTCACTAGAGCAGGAAAGCGAAGCATGGCCGAACGACCGGGATCCCTGAATCTGTAGGCAGTCTGTGCTGTCGGGTTTCATCTCCTCCGTGTTCCTCTCTCTCTCTCTCTCTCTCTCTCTCTCTCTTCTCCCGTTCTTCGAACGACAACGTCACACGCACTACTGCCATTAGGCGGACTCACACCCTGCATGCAGTTGTCACATAGTCACGCTCAAACAAACCATTGCCCACACGTGTGTTCTTTCCCTAGGTCGCTTGTCTAGCAAATAAGGAACCAGTTCGGGGGGTATCGAAAGCGCACTTGGTCATGCGTACGCGGACGGGCGATTTGATCGGACGGCAACAAGCTAATGGGTCGAAAACATTAGATTCCTGGCAAGGGGCAAACTTCACCCTACGGTAGTAGTCAGAATCTGCCCTTTCACAGCAGGTCTGGCCTTCTTCCGTGACCGTCCATCATTTATCGAGAACGACGTGTAGAGAAGGGAGGAGGGTCTGGGTGGTGAGTGTGTGTGTGTGGGGGGGGGAGGTGTTGGGTGATATGAGCGAAGGAAGAGCGAGGCCGTGCGTGAAAATGTGGGAGGGAGGAACACCAAGCGCATCGAGCGCGGGGTCGTTTGAATGAAAGGGAGAGAGCAAGTGGTTGGCAGCATGCATGATCACGGAAAATTGGGGTCGATGCATCAGAAAGAGCGGGCAGTGGTGGGATAGCTCCCGCATTTTTCTCTCCCGTCCTGTCTAGTAGGATACTAGAGCCAGCCAGCCGGCGAGTGCGGTTCCTTTGTTGTGTCCTGAGCCGTTCCTCCATCCATCAAGGCCCGACTTGACTTGGAATGAAATGGAAGAAAGGGAGGGAAGGGGGAAGACGTAGGCGGCGGTGCGATAACCATGCATTTCCTAAGGCATCTATCTATTTTTCGTTTCAGTAGCGGTCCGTCTCGGATACTCTCTTTCGGGCCTTCTCTGCTGTAACGGGCGTACTATGATGACCGTTCCCAGTATCTCCGAGCTGAATTAGAGAGAGAGAGAGAGAGAGGCGAGGGGTGGAGTGGAGTGGGTGAGGCAAGGGGTGGAGTGGAGTGGAGTGGGTGAGGCAAGGGGTGGAGGAGCGGGCGTGTGACAGTGAAACGGGGAATGTGGGATTACAGTATGGAATGGGACGGAGGAGTGCAAGACGCGCCACCCAGGAGCGAAGTGAGTGAAGTAGGTGGCAGTTAAATGGTTGGCACACAGCTCTATTTTGTGTGCCGCTGTGGGGGGGATGATGTCTCGTTGGCTGGATTGATTGCCACGTGTCGTTCACGGAGGAAAGACCCGAACCTGCTCCTCTACCTCTCTCGACGTCCGTCTAGTATCGATCACCTGGTTGTGGCCCTTTTCAACGCGAACCCGACTTATATAGCTCCTCCCCCTTTGTCTGAAGTATTGACTCGTGCGTTCTAATCTCCCACTTATATAGCCCCACGAACGGACGAGTTGAGTTGAGTTGTTGTGCACATTCATTCACGGGGATGCGCGGTGCTGGAAAGAATTAACAACATGGTCAGGAAGCGATCAAGATAATCGCAATCGCCACGTAAGCAAAAGCGAAGAGAGAGAGGCGGAGTGTGAAAATCGGGAGGACAGTGGGAAAGGCAGGGAGGATTATGCTGGAGCAGACGGGGGTGGAAGAAAGTGCAGGTGGAAATCGGAGAGGGGTGTGTTTTGATTGGGAGTGGGAGGCAAGGCGGAGTAGGTCCAGCTACTCGCAGTGTTCACGTTGGCCCGCCGTTTGCTTTGAAAGGAGAAAACAAAGAAGAAGAAGAAGGAGAAAGAGAAGAAGAAGACGAAAAGAGGGAGGTAGGGGATCGCTGCTATCGTCCGCACGATCGCCTTCGTCGTGGTTTGCGTGTGTGGGGTGTAAAGATCATCGCGGCGAAATGTTTTTTGAGAAGAAGGAAAGGTTCTGGGAGCGTGCTAGTCGATGGCAGATGTTTGTGTCGGGCTGTGCGACTCTGGTGTGCGATCGACGCCCGCGTCGATGGAGTTGGGTATGGAGCGAAGGTGAGCGGCGGGTGGCGATGACAGCAAAAGCGGGAGGGAGGTTGTGATTTCGGACGGAATCGGGGGCACAAGGAGGGTAAGGGGGCTGCTGAAGGACAAAATTAATAAAGGAGGAGGGGAGGATGGGAGGTGGCAGAAGGTGTGGTGCCCCGGAATGAACAGAAACGAAACTCGCTTACCGCGAACACAATCTGTCGAAAAATCAGAGAGAGAGGGGAAGGAGGGAGAGAGGAAGGAGCCGGGGGGCAGGGCTGAGCGGTCGAGCCCCGCCCGCCCGCCCGCCTTCGTGGCGGTCCGTCAACTTCACTGAAAATCACAGGCGGCGGTAGCCTCTGATCAGCGACGACCTCTTCCTGTTATCTTCCAGAGTGTTGTGGAGGAGTAGAGGCGCGGACGTCGTGCTCTCTTCTTTAAGCTGGTGATGGGCGGGTTTAGGTTATCCTGCTGGTGGACAAGAAAGGATCGATCAGGGAGAAGGTGACCCATCTCTAAAGCAGAGAGGAGAGGAGGAAGAGGAGGTGACGGAAGGTTATCGTGATGGGGTGGTCGTTCGGAGAGGGCATTCGAGTTCCTCGCGCTCTTTACCGATCAACCTGAGAAGCGAATAGTATTGTGTGTGTGTTTCTTTTTTTTTTGTGTGTGTGTGCGCGCGCGCGCGCTTGTGTGTTTTTGTGTGTGCGTGTGTGTGTGTGTGTGTGTGTGTGTGTGTGTGTGAGAGAGAGAGAGAGAGAGAGAGAGAGAGAGAGAGAGAGAGAGAGAGAGAGAGAGAGAGGAATTTATTGTGGCGACACACGGTTGGAGCGGACCCATTGTCGATCGGTGGTCTGATTGAGCGTATGACAGGGTGGTAGAACTCTGCTGCGAAGAGAGAACTGGTTGGGAATTAAACAAAAAAAAAAGGGGGGGGGGAGGGGAATAAGAAAACCCGGAAGTTAGGGGGGGGGGGGGGAACGGACAAGAAAGAACCGAAGTGCGAGATATGATGAACCGCGGATGTCGAGATGTTGAGTATCCGCGCCTTGGAAGCGGGTGAAGTCGAAGCGCGAGGAAGTCGATCCCCCGGGCAAAATCCGTGTTCCGGTGAGCGTTTCTCTCTGCCCTCTCTGCTGTGCTCTTGGTGGGTTTCAGGACCTGGCGGACAACGACGACGACTACGACTACGACTACGACTACGACGAGGACCAGGACGAGGACGAGAGGAGTGTTTCGGGCGGCGAATGGGAGGGGGACTGGAACTCACGACGCGGCCTGCGAGAAGCGGCTTCTGTCAAGAATTTGGCGCGAGTAATTACTTACTTCGGCCATCGGCTGGAGCTCACGCCGGCGAGAGCGGTGACAACAACTTCGTCGAGGGGTGCGGTCACGACAAAAGGAAGGGAGAGGCAGAGGTTGGCGCCGGCGAGGAAGGGAGAGTGGAGGGTGAGGGTGGGGGGAAGAGCAGGGAAGATGAGAATGCGGACACGCTGTGCTGGTGTGTTATTTGTGGGTCACAACATATTCGCGCCTCAGCGCGCTCCGGTGCATTGACGGCTATGATGATTTCTTGATTAGTTGTTTCGATATCCAGCCAACTGGAAATCCTTGGTGAAGGGGCGTCGTCCCACCTGAAGCAGCACACTTGAGAGTGTGAACGGTACTCCATCTCCGAAGGCTGGCGGGTGGGTGTAGAAGGGGTCGGAAGAAGAGGGGGGGGGGGGGGGGGGGGGAGTTTCGGGCGAGGGAAGCAGGGAGGGGGGGGGCGTCGACCGTCCTGGAAGTGGCTGGCCGGTGGCTTAGCTGAACGCCGCGTACGTACGAGCCTACGGCGAGTTGTGTTGCTGGCGCGCAATGACGTTCGTGGTTGATGGCGGGCGGCGCGCGCCGAGCCCTGCGCACGGCGGCGGCGGCGGCGGTGGAGGTGGAGGTGGAGGCGGTGGCGCAGATATAGAACAGCAGCAGCAGACATCGAAGTTGATGATCCGGGGAGGATACGATTCTCAGGATGATCTTGATAGGACTCTTGTTACCCAGTTCGCTATCGTCCAAGAGGTATTGGGGAGCTTGGTGGCAGATAGCGAGGTGCACGGTCGGCTTCAGGATAAGGTGTCGGAGAGCGCGGCGCATCACGCAGAGGTGGTGAACGGGTTGCTGTACGGAATACTGACAGAATGCCAATCGGCGTCAAAATACTTGTCGTACATGAGCTACGTGACACGTGATGGGTACGCCACGTGTCTGAGCACGCTGCAGAAAGTGGTGGATCGGTACCCACGACTCCTTGAGGGGGTGCGTGTGCAGGTGTTGTGGGTGTTCCGGTCGCTGGTGGGCCTGAGAGCCAGCGAGGTGGAGAGTCTGGGCCTATCGCTTCTGCGACAGATTGCTGGCGGAGATCTGTCACACGGCAATATCTGGTTGGCCTCGAATCTTCTGGATGTCTTCTGTGGAAATCCTGCCTGGTTCTATAGCAGTTCGTTGTTCACTTTCTCCTTGTACACTTACCTTCGACTCATTCCTGATCATTCCATGGGTCGATGTCACAACCCTTCTCTAGGTCTATTGCACGAGCTACGGCAGAAGGAGATTGGATTTTGTGTGCAGATCTTGCGGGAGCGTTTCACGGATTGCCTGAAGATCGGCCGTGATCTGGTGCGGCTCCTTCAAGATGTGGCTACCATTCCCGAATTTGAACCCATCTGGCGCGACCTAATGTCCAATCCGGCCGCGTTGAATGCACCGAGCTTCACGGACCTGGCGGAGTTGTACGACAAGCGCACGCCAGGGAGGTATCTTGCGTCGAGGGTTACGCCGGAGATGGAGAAACAGATCTTCTGGCTTCTCAGCCAGGTGAAAATGGGCAACCAAAGAAGATACCAGGTATGGTTCGGGCAGCGCTTCCTGTCTACCCCCGAGAGCGAGACACTTGTGTGCGACCTTATCCGCTTTATCTGCTCCGTCACGCACCCCACTAATCAGAATCAGCCGCAAGGAGGACCGGAAATTGTGCCCAGGTGGTTGTTGGTGGGATGGCTTCTCAAGTACTGCAAATCGCAACACGTCGAGGCCAATGCGAAGCTCGCGCTGTTCTACGACTGGTTGTTCTTCTGTCCAGAGACGGACAAGGTCATGAACATCGAACCTGCGCTCCTGTTGATCATGAACTCTCTGCCCAAGCACGTGCCTATCGCACAGTCGCTGCTGGAGTTCTTGTTTCTAATGATGGACGGCTATGATCCGTCCAGGAAGGCCATGATTAAACACAGCGTGCAGCTGTCAATGAGGGCTCTCATCTCGACAGGAGTGATAAAGTCGCTGGATGCGCTGGCGGGATCGGACCTTATCTCGCCTGTGCTGAGAGAGAAGCTATGCCGAACTTTCCCCGCTTATGTGCGCATCGATAATGGCTCACCGAGGCCGAGTCTCGAGCCGCCCCCGCCAGCGCCCGCGTCTTCGCAACAGCAGCAGCAGCAGCAACAGCAGCGCGCCGGTGTCGCCGGGGCACGGGAAGGAGGTAATGTGGCGAACAACAAGGAAGAGGAAGGGAGGGTGAATGGAGGAGCAGGGGCTCCTAGATTGGCCCAACAACAGCAGAGGCAGCAGCAGAATCATGTCCAGCAGGTGCAGGGGGGAGGGTGGTTGCCTGGTGGCGGGGGGGGGTCTCCTGGAGAGCGGTACGCGTGGCCAGTGGCGAAGGGGGGCTCGGGTGCGGGAGGAGGGGGTAGTGCCGCCAGCCCCAGCGCGGGGCCTGCTGTCGGAGGACCGGTCGTCCCTGGGGTTGGGATCTCGGTGCCATCCGGGGTGATGACGCCCCGCCAACATCGCCAAATCCCCCCTTCTCATCAGAGCTTTGGACCTGCGAGGGGAGGAGCAGGAGGAGGAGGAGGAGAAGATGGGCAACCTGCGCCGCCCTTGATAGGAGGCGGACGGCCGCGAGGCGGCGGAGGGGCGGAGGACCCCGCGATGCGGTTCGCACAGGCGAGAAGAGAGGAGAGACGAACATCAATAGGACGGGGGGAGGAGCAGCAACAGCAGAAGAAGACTGATCAATTGAACGAGGCAGTGACCGGAAAGGTCGGTGCAATGCGAGATGTGACGTCGGAAGTACGTGATGCCTTGAATAGGTTGGTCGAGCGGGGACCGACTCTGACGCAGGATATGGCGATGTCCATCCTTCAGCAGCTTGTTGCCACGGCGTCGGGCGCGGGGATGGGAGCGGGAGGAGGTGATAGCACAGGCAGACCCGTCACGAGCGGGGTTGGGGGAGGCGTGAAGGAGGGTGCTTCCGCCGGAGGGGGTGGATCGCGCAATTCGAAATCGAACCATGTCGTTGGGGAGCAACTTGAAAAAATGGACAGTGCCGATGTCAGCGGAGGAGGAGGAGGAGGAGGAGGAGGAGGAGGAGAAGGGGGAAGAGGAGAGTGGGCTGCTTCGTCGTCATTTGCAGATGCAATAGACAAGAAGCTCGGGAAGCAGATCTTCAGGCCTCTGACGTCAGTGCCCACAAGTGCGCCAGACCCCGAGGAAACGGTGTCAGTAACCTCCTGTTTGGTGCAGTACTATGTCGACACATGCAGCCAGCAGCTTCGCACGCTTCTTGTGGCATTGCAAGCGCGTGGACTCGCTGTTGGTCCGCGCCTTCTCTGCCATGCTGCACGTGTGGGAGAGGTGGCTGCTTCCCGTAATGCAGGACCTATTTCTGGCAATGCGGTTGGCCTTGGCGCAGTGGGAGAGTCGGGCGCTGTAGAGAGCTGGACCGTCATGCGCGCCGACCCGAACGGCGGTGTTTGGGGGGATGGGTGTGTGGGAGGAGAAGGGATTGCTCTCCGCTCAGCAGCATCAGATGTGCCGATGTCACCCTCTCCTTCTCTCAAAAGGCGCTCTCGATCTCCCGTTGATGATCCGATGAAGGTGGACGAAGCGCAGGGTTGCGGTGACAGTGGACGGGCGTGCGGAGGGGGAGATGGGGAAGGAGAGCGGCGCCGAGGCGATGCCGGGTGCGGCATGAGCGCAACAAGGGAGGGTGCATGCGTCGAGGAGGGTGGGGGAAGCTACAACAGGGCGAGGAGTGGTATCGCCGCCGGCCCTTCCGCTCCGTGGCCCTTGGCCGATCGTGGAAGGAAGAATGCCGCCAGTGGAGGATTAGCGGCGGAGGAAAGGGAGTTTAAGCGGGCGAAGATGTCTGCGTCGGGAAGAGAAGGGGTGGGGACGGTTAGGGGCCGCGAAGAAGTGACGGCTAGAGATGCCTTCCGAGCGTACGAGGAGTTTTTGAGAGATGTGGGCAAAGGTCCTCCGCCAAGTCACGCCGCGCGCGGAAGTGGAGGCCGAGGAGCGGGAAGAGGAGGAGGCAGGGGGAAAACGGGTTTGCTTCCGAATGGGAAGATAGTGCACGGACGCGGGTCTACGGGTCTTGCGTTTCATCAAGGAGGAGGAGGAGGCGGAGGAGGAGGAGGAAGCGGGGGGGAAGGTTGGGAAGGTAGCAGCGGAGATGGAGGCGCGGAGGAGGCTAGAATGAGAGGAGGTATGGAGAGCGCGCTATTATCGGACCTCCAGACGGTTTTCTTGTGGAATTCGGACAGATTGCTCGCCGTTCTGCCTCACGTTTTCAGACACCTTCCACATTTGGCAGTCGGCAACAAGGAGGTGGTCAGGCTGCTTGTGTGTGTCATAGACCCTGTAGAGATGTACAATTTCGAGTGTAGGCTTGCGTTGTCCGAGTTTCGTGTATTTGGGGATCGACCGGGGCTGGAACGGGTTATCAGGGCATCAGTAGAATGGGAATCAATGGATCAGGCTGCCATGTGGCGTCTTCTGATTGCAGAATCACATGCTGCGAAAGCGAACGTCGCTAGATCGGTGATGCAAGTCCTAGGAGTTGTTGTTACGGTATGTGGGGATGCGGGTGTTGGTGTCGAGATGTTATCGGGGATGCTGTCCTTGCTGAGGCCCGTGGTCCCCAACGGTCAGCTGCTGCAGGCGGTGCTCTCTCTACCGGAAAAGTATGGACGGTTTTCGGGCGCGGTGCTGGCAGGGTGGAATGCGAATCACCACGAGCGGCTGCAGGAGCTGCAGCTGTTCAGGGTAGAGGGGGAACGAAGGGGAGAGGAGAGGGTGGTGGGAGGTACTGCGAAAGGGGGTAAGCAGCAGCAGCAGCGGCAGCAGCTGCAGAACGACACGGTTGTCGCCAGCGCGATAGGGAACGGGGTGGGCTATGGGGGAGGAAGGCGTGCCAACAGACTAATGATGGGGCAAGGAAGGGGTCCGGCGGAGCCGGCGATGGGGAAAGAGGACGAGGGTGATGGCTCGAAGAGGAAGGGCCCGGGGTTGCTTCTAGTGAACTCCATGGCATTCGGAGGGGGCGGCAATGCGAGAGCGGAGGTCAAGTCACAGCAGGGAGAGGAGGCGGGCGGGAGTGATGCAACAGCAGCTGCGGGAGGGGAAGAGCGCATTGCGGAACACCATAGGCAATCTTTGGGCCACGATGATGCCGTGGCAACGCACGGAGGAGGGGGCAAGGCCCCCGACCCTAGGGATCGATCTCAAGCGGGATTGAGAATGGTGGAAAGGGGGGTTCAAGTGGATGTGTGAGGGGTGCCAACCGGTGGTGGAACAGCGGTAGCGAGTTGCTAGGCCTCAGGCGTTGTAGTTTCATACAAAAGTGACAGCAATCGGTCAGCGTCAAATGTTGAATGGGTTTTGGGTTTTGTGTTTTGTTTGTGTGTTTGGTGGTGGTGGTGGCGGTGGTGATAGAGAGTGGGGAGGGAGGGAGGGAGGGAGGGCGGGGGGCGGGGTGGCAGTGGTGACGGCGAAGTGCGGTGCGGGGAGAAAGGAGGTGCACAAGAACAACAGGCAGAGTCGTCCTGTGTGTGCGCGGGAGCTTGTAGAAAGATGAGAGAATTGGTATTCCCTTTGTAACTCTGTCCATCCGTCATTTTCTCTGTGGGAATAACATAGAAGACAATTTGATCCTTGCCCTCTTCGTTGTTGTTTAGGTCAATCCAACCGGCAGTGAATTTTTCAAGCACTGGTTATCTCTCTCTCGGTCGTTCCTCTCTTGTCACGGCACCAGGCTACCTCCTTACCCAGGTTCTCCCTTATCCCATTGGTATGCTTTGGTTTGCAGTGACCTCTTCACATAATGAGCTGCTGCCCCACAATTGGCGAGTTTGTGTGCTCGCAGAACGCCTCTCTTTGTTCAGCTTGCACCTACTCCCATCTAAATGGTTGCTCGCTTTCTGTTGCCACGGGAGTCAGTGTGAAACCCTCTGCTTGCCATTTGTTCTGTGAGTCCCTCTGCTTGCCATTTGTTCTGTGAGTCCCTCTGCTTGCCATTTGTTCTGTGAGTCCCTCTGCTTGCCATTTGTTCTGTGATTGCATACCTGTTATCGATGCATTCATGCACAATCTGACAGAGGAAAGACGTAACCACGCCCTGTGGAATGAGAATATTGAGTGTTACGGCGAGTAGAGAGGAAAGAGACAGGAGGGGAGGGAGAGGG